GTTTTGTACTTCAGGTTGTAATTGTAAATCAACGTGTTCAACCAAAGCTTGTCCATGTAAATCTAAAGGTGTTTTATGTTGTACAAAGTGCCATCCAAAAAAAAAATGTCGATGTTTGAATGTATAAATTATTTATTAATTAAATAAACTATCAATATCAGTATGCTAAATATCAATCAAACACTCTTTAGGGGAATTTTAAATCGCCCTAGATTTTGATTTCCACTGCACAAGCGCTTCGTAAAAAACGTCGAAAAAAGAAAAAACAAGATGTATCTGTATTGTCATAAAAAAATATGACTTGCATAGACAGACAACACAACTAAAGTCATACAGTTCAAGTGGACTTTCACCAATACAACCCATGGACGCTCGCCAATTGGCGAACGTCTACTTGGCGAAAGACATATTGGCGTACTTTCATGATTGCCTTGTGATCATAGGAGAATGAGTCATCCTTTGTAGACAGTCCTAAGAAGCGCAGAACCGTTGCTTTATTTATGACACATCATAGATCAAGCAGATAAAGAAGAAAAAGATACATCATGTAGATGCAGCATGTAGATATATTAGAGCTCTGCCATATAGTGCTTTTTCTTTATCTCGCACACGATAACATTCGACCACATTTGCTAATGCAGAATAAAAAAGGAAAAAGATATTTTTAACATGAGAACGAGTCATCACTTTAAAACGATCAACTAAACGAGTTGTTGTATATCTTTATTGATTCTGAGAAAAAAGGTCAGCGGTCAAAGACCATTATGGATCTAACAATAATAAAGATGTTGTCCGTAAGTGCTCAGAGAAGGGTAATTATCGTTAAGAAAAACAAAAGAGTAACAATATAAAAAAACTAAGCAGACAGGCTGGACGACACAGAAAGGATGAATATCATAAAAATTGGAAATTGAAACTTGCTATGTCTGTAGTTATTCAAATCTGTTCGTTTGTTGAATATACAAGAGGACTGTATCCAGTAAACATGTTAAAGTATCATGATCAAAGTTTAAGCCATTCAGTAACAAGGTGTCAGCTGAGAATGTAGGCATAAAAGAAAGTTTTTGTGAAAGATCTTGTCGTTGAGCATTGTATAGGAAACAGTGCAAAAAAATCTAAACGAGTTGTTCTACTGATCATACAGAGATCATGCAGAAAGAAAAAGATGCAGACATAAAGATACAACATCATGCAGATATAAATAAACAAAGGAAGCTGTTAGAAAAAAAGTAAACTTGTTAACTTGTTTAAACAATTTCAACTGCTAAACTGTAAATCCTTTTTTTCATTCGATTACTGAGACTTTCAGTTACACAATGGTCAAAGACTTTTTGGAAAAAGTTCAAAAATAAGGATAGAATAATAGAGCACTAGCAAATAAGGAGATATCTCTTTTCACATACGATATCTCGTGTGCCAACGTTTTTTTGTCTCAGCGCGTCGATTGAAACGAAAGAGAACAGAAAGATATGCATGTGCGAAAAGAGATATCTCCTTATTTGCTAGTGCTCTAATGAAATTACTCCACTTGTCGAGTGTGTCTGTTCTTATTTAAAAGTATTTGTTGTATGGAAAGAAGTTTTATTTTCACTTCTGTTTGGAATGATGATTAATCGAAGACATCAAAAAAGAGAGACATATAGAAAAAATATTCTTTTCATTTTCTCCTATGAGCAGATATATCTTGCATGCAGAGTTCTGTATGTGTTACGTGATGAATCCTTATAAGCTAGAGCTCTATTACAAATAATAAACGCAAGTAAGAAGAAAAAGTAGAATCTATACTTTCATGTTGCTAGCGTATTATTACGGAATGGTTTTACAGAACCTTTTTTTTATTTTTTATTAGGTCAAAACAACCTTCAAGATTCTATTCTTCACTTGGCGACAGAAGAAATATTGATTGACTTCTGAATGTGGTCTCACGCCAAGGAAGCACTGATCAGTTCGACTTGTATTCTCAATGCCCCATTCTGTGATCGTCGACCTCTTATCAAGCTTGCCAATGATCTCAATGGGCCTCGTATGAGGTTGTTACATTGGTCTCAAATTGAACAAGAAAAAAGAATTCCACACAGTGACGAAAATCTCGCTGTTGATGCAATCAAAGGAATTGATTCGTATGGTGCTGGCAAATGTGAAATCTTTATGGTTAGCCATCGTTGGTTACGTTCCAGACTAGATCCAACCGAAGCTCATCCGGATTCAGTAGATAATATCAAGGCAAAGGTATTAAATGAGTTTTCACTCTGGAGAAGGAGGTGGGTACTCGAACAGCATGGCTTTCTGCCCGAAATTTTCTATTGGATTGATTTTTGTTGTATTGATCAACATGATACGACGTCTGCACTTCCATTGCTTCCACTCTGGGTAACGTGCTGTGAAAGATTCCTGAGACTTGAGACAGAAGATTATAGTGAAAGAGCATGGTGTAGATTGGAATCGTTGCTTTCGTATGTTTTCCAGTTTGCTAATCATCACACAGTAATAAAATTGGATTTCAAGTGTCCAACAACGTGGCCATACTATGGAACTAAAACAAAAGCAATCATTCTTGATCCAAGCGATGGAAAGTTTACAGATCAGCAGGATATGGCAAGAGTGGAACCAATTATTGAATTAGCAATGATAATTGCATCAGTGAAAAACAAACAGAACGTAGAATTAGGAAAGTCAACTATCACCTGTTTTCTGTTATAAAAAGAGAAGAATAGCAAATAATAATGTATTAACACAAATCGGCTTTTGTTAAGGCAAAAACGTGAGACAAATATATAATTAAAATCAATATCGCAGTCGACCGATCTTGCGGCAATTTTCTAGAATTGTTATATAAATCTTATGAGGATCTTATATAAGGCAGTCGATGAAAATGATACAGTATTGATACGATTCTTATAAGATCCTGATAAGAGTGCCAAGATGGTTTATACAATTTTTTTATAAAAATTCATAAGATTTCAGTAAGTCAGCATCAGAAATTTTAAGTCTTTCGCGCCTGCGAATGAATATTCAAAGATAAAGTTGGAGAACTAAATCATCATTTACTGCCGCTGTTTCTTCTCCTATTGCTCTACTCTGCTTACACAGCATCGCTGCATCTTACGATTCTTTTCTACTCCTTTCAATGTCTGCTGCCTGAAAAATCTATAACGTTTTGCGCTGAATTGTGTATATCGGCTTGGCCAAGCGTGACGGAATTTCCCTTTTTCGACTTCTTTGTTTTGTATCTCCGGAACCACGTAAGGGATTACGATGGAATTTTTATCAAATGAGTATTAGAACAGGTTCTTCAATTTCTGAAAGTGTGAGTTTGATCGGTACACTAGATCAGCAGTTATAGCAAAAATAGAAGCCGTGACGGAACTTGAAAAAATGAAAAGTTTTTTAGGAGCCTCTTTCAACTTCGAACTTCTCTCTGAAATAAGGTACGGTCGTTTGACATACTTTACAGAAAAATGTTTGCCAGTCGTTGGGCTTCCATAATATATCTCTAGTTTTGGTGTTAAGTGCTAAGATCAAATAAAGCGAGCAGAATATCGGCCGTGACGGAATTTCATGCTTCCAATGTAGAAGGTTATGTCTGCCATAAATTCGACACTCAAACGAACCCAGCCAACCTTCTTTGGTTCTCTGCCATCCGCGTGCCTCTCTTTCATCATCAAGCAGTTTTTGTTAAGAAAATACAGTACCTAGCGGCTAATAATAAATTTAAAATTTCGATGAATTCGCGACGTTACTGTTGTTGAATATCATTAAAACCGAAATTTGAGCAATTTTTAAACAAGAAAATCATCGTGTATAAGCTCAAAAATGTGTTAAATCACTCTAAGATCTTTTCCAACGGAAACGTTTTAATTTTGAATTTAGTTTAACTTTAAAAATTCAAAAATTACTTTAAACTAAGAAATGGAAAAATTGAAATTGTTTTCAATTTTTTTCAGTGTTATATTTTGAATCCGCTTAAAAAGCTGCGTTGAATGATGTTGGTGTCAGCCTCATTCGTTTGATACTTTTGAAAGCACTGTTTCTCCACCAAAGGACTAATCTTTTTCAATAAAAAAATTTCGATGTATATATAAATTGACATGCTCTATCTGATGAGCATAGTAAGATTCGCGCCGCTGAAGGTTTTGTTAAAAGCGGGCAAACCTGTGTGGAAATACATAGCACTACGGATTGGGTACTTCTTCAAATCATTGTATCGGAGCCTTCTCAAACTCTAAAGTACCAGGAAAATATTATGTTTATACACAATCGATATAGCTCTATCAAACGCGCGAATGGCTATGCAATTCACTCAAAAATATAATAGGATATACTAATATTATCGCATATGTGATAATTACAGTGACCATTTAAGTGCCGTTTTTACACCGTTTTCATAACGTAGCTTTTGGGGTTGTTTTCAAGTTGTAAATTAACGGTCACCGTAAACGGCACGGTTTACATCGTTTTTATGATGACCATTAATGTGCCGTTTACACGACGTTAACGGACCGTTCTGTTGGCCTGGGTACTCACATCGTCTAACTAAGCCGTTCTAACACTTAGAAAACATTCTAGCAGTAATGGCAAACAATTTTACTAACATGTCAGCACAAAAAAACAGGCCTGATAACGAAAAACATTTTTTTTCATTTTGAGAGCGCAAATTGGTAGTAAAACAGCATGAAAAAATGAAAATCTATCAGCAATCCTATCTATCAGCAAAATTTCTGCGAAAAAGCTTTTAATCAGTTCTACTACAATCCTCGTTAGTTCAAGTCTCTTTCGACTACCCTGTTTCTATTCAGCTGAACTATATTATTATATTCCTTTCTTCACTCCGTTCTTTTGGATTTTGATTATATTTTTTCTGCCTAAAGTAACTCTAAATAATGGTCGAACTCAATTGACCAATCACGTTTTTACTAGCGGCACATATTCTTTGCAGTTAAAAATTGGTGTAAAACACATATTAACTTAAATTCAACGTATTTAATGTTTAAAAACTTTTTTGTACTCCTTAAAATACGATTTAAGGTGGAAAAAATTTTAGCATGAAATATTTTATTTTTCAAATTTTTAAGAAAAATCTTACAATATCATCTTACAAGCTCGTATGAAGTCTTGTGAGATTCGTATCGTATGTTTTTGTACGATTCTTAGCAAGAATCTTATAAGATTTTCGCTTTTGTCTTATACCAGGAATCATACAAGATTCTTACTTCACGATCTTATAAGATCCTCGACGAAGAATCTTATGAAATCGTATTGTCTGTAAGATCTTAATCTGATTTTTTGACATGGGCAGTTAGCTCTTTATTTGAATGTAGAGAACAAAATGACAAAGTTCGTGACACGAAGAATGCAGATGTTTTATTTTTGAAATTTCTCAACATCTGTACATTTTCGGATGGGGAGTGTCATGAAATCCGGATGTTTTTTAGTCCGGGAAGACTTTTTATCAGGAGATCCTACTCGTCTATGCAACTCCACCCGGATGTAATTTCATCCCGATTCAAAAGTGTATAAAATTTCCGGATGAATTTTCCTCGATCAACTCCGGTAATTTAAGGAGCCAAGGTACTCCATTTGTGTATTGATGAGTAATTGCGATAAAACGATGGTCAAGAGTAGAAACTGGTTCACCTGTGAGGCCTTGTCCGGTATAGGCCTGCAAAAGTTCACGTTTTGTCGCCGTCTTCTTGTTGTTTTCATTTATCGCGTTTATTCATTTTGATACAGACTTGCGATTTCCAGCAATCAAAAGATGACAGTTTAAGCTAAATTTTGACAAGCAAAATTGTCTTTCAAAAATACTGGGAAGGTCAGTTTTCTGAAAGATCTTTCGAAAACCAGCTCGGATTTCTAGAAACCAACAGAATAATCTATTGGTTTTCTTTCGAAGATAAATAGTCCAAAGTGTCTTCTACAAAATAAGATCTAAGCAAAACTTTGGCTTTGCTTGTTACAGACCTTTCCCCCGAAGCCTTAGGACTTGTCTGTCGTTAGGTTTAGACTGTCAGAAATGCATGAAAGCATACGTTATTACCTATCCTAAATCTCGTGACAACATTTGGTGTTCAAAAACGTTAGTGAAATCTATCGTGGGTGAAATATCCCATTTTCCAGTAGAATCAAGAAATGCATAATTCAGTCAAGATCCAATCAAATTATGTCAGAATATCCAGATGTGCTCTATTTAACCTGCTCAATACTATACAGTTCAATAAAAGCTTTAAAAACCAACAGAAAATTGTTTGGTTTTTGAGAAGGTTTTCTGAAATTCTTGCGAAGTACAAGCATGCTTTTTAATAATTTCAAGTAAAAAGTTATTTGAAGCAGATAAAATAGAGTACATCTGGATATCCTGGCATAGTTTGGTTGGATCTTGACTGGGTTATGAAGTTTTTGATTTTACTGAGAAATGAGATAATTCATTTACACTAGGTTTTCACTAGGATTTCGGAACTTTCGAAAGAAAACCAATAGATTATTCTGTTGGTTTCAAGAAATCCGAGCTGGTTTTCGAAAGATCTGTCAGAAAACCGATTTTCCCAGTATTTTTGAAAGATGATTTTGCTCGTCAAAATTTAGCTTAAACTGTCGTCTTTTGACAGTTTTGAATAATTTCGGAAAGAAGTTTTGCTTGTGAAAACATAGCTTTAGGTGTCCTCCGTTGACTTCTGAAAACCGCAAGTTTCTATCACTTATCATCTTTGAATTATTCGAAAAACAACCGATTGCATTGTATTTTGGCATCGTTAGTACCCAAGCAAACATCACCTATGGAAAATCTGGATACATTTTGTCTGTAATCGAGCGATGCACGACTATTTGCCATCTTGATTACTAGTTGGAAAAGGGGCTTTTAACTAGGTAGATGCGTCTGCGTGTGTAACTAGCAACAGTTAAATCGATCGATTGTCGGGCGATAGATTGACAGTTGTAGCTAGATGAAATCTAGCAATTGCCCGATCTGTCGTTACTCAAGAGTTGTAATCGAATAAAAATCTGGTAATCTAAATGAATCGGGCCATACTAGATTTTTTTTTGACGTTTGGGTAGTATGTAATAAAAACGAGCAGAAACCCTGTTTACGTTCAGAGAATAAAATTAATCTATGCATACGTTAGCCTCAAAATAATTTTCATTCCACACAAAAGGAACATTGTTAGTATAAAATAAAGTTCACGTTCATCGGAACGCTAGCGTTCACGTTCAAGGAAACGCGAACGTATTTAGGGTTCGCGTTGTTGATGTGCTTTAGCGTTACGTTCAAAGTGAACGCTAAAAAGGAACGCTGACCTTTTGCAGGTCTAGTCTGGTAGCATAATCATTTTTACAACATCATATAGCATAACTACAAAAGCATTGTGACCTAGTCAAAGGCTAGATGAAAAATGACAGGAGAGGACAGTCAAGGGCTACAATTTGTATTAAAAATAGGACAAATCACATTCGGTAGTTGTACGATTGTATCTGAAGGGACGAGACCTAAACAAAAAGAAATGTCGTCACCGTTTTAGTCTCGTCAATATCTGCAGTAATATTAATAAGAAAATCTCGAAAAAAAGTAATTAACGGAGCGCATCAAGTGTCCTGTTCATTTTTTCGTGTAAGCCACCATCGGAAAACATTATTTCTATCAATGGGATAGTTGCCAGAGGTCACTCAGACCTCTTTCCTAATTGGTTTCAGTTGTTTTCGGAAAGCACAAATTTAATATATACACGTGTAATACAGCATACACGTGTTTAAAGCAGTTACAATGAAAAGAAAACTGTAATATTGAAAATCATTCAGTTACGATATTTTACTTGAAACGTATGTTGTATTTAATTGACTGTTTTTAGAAAAATTCAAACAACAAGATTATATACAGTATATATAAGACCGCATGTACATAAGAAAACTATACACCTGCAAGAGAATTGAAGTGTGTGTGTATTATTACACGTATTATTGTACACGTGTATTATTTCTCCTGTCACGTGCAAACGTTCAATCGAAACCGTCAATCGACAGCTTATTCAGTTTTCTTCAGAATGAGACGCCAACCTATTTTCTACCACATTTTCTCGAAGAGATATAAAAAAAATACAGAGACAAGTGAATATCCCACGTCTAGGTTAAAAGTCAAGTTCCACTTTCACTCACTGTAGAAAAATGGCTCTAGTTTTTCAACGGGATGACGTACAAACGTAGTTGGCATCTCATTTTGAAGAGAATTGAATAAGCTACCGATTGACGGATTTGAAAAAGCTATAGAATTTCCCCAAAGTCCTCTACATTTTCTGAAAAACCGAGCTTCTCGAAAACCTTTCTCTCAAAATCCTGGTATCGTACATAATCTTTCTTTTCGAATTTGGATAGATGTGAGATATTCGCTTCTCTCCATGTTTTCTCTATATCTCTTACGTTAACGTCTCATTTTGAAGAAAATTGAATAAGCTATCGATTGACGGCTACTGAATTTGGATAGATTTCGTGAAGATCTTTCATTTGAGACCAAAATGAAAGTGCTACGACAGGGACTACTGGTCTAACTAATCGTCAGAGCAAAGGATATTTCCGCTGGAAAACGCACTTTTTCGCTGAGAAAGTACTTTGCATACAACTTTTTTTCTATCGCAGCTAGAGATCTGTAGTTTTCACCATTGGAGTCAGCATGAAAAACTGCACCAGAAATTGTGTGTCTCATCATCTGCGCCCGAGATCGATGTAATGGTGGTATGTTCTATGTGGATTTACATACATGTGTCTTCAGTTCAAGCTTAATCTTGATTTTCTCGGTCGACTCGCATTGACCCCCAGCGAAGCTTTCAGAGTTTGAAGTACTAGTCATGTAGATCACTAATATATGTGCCGGGAATCTATGTCATGTTGTCTGGAAACATGATACAGGTTTGCGTAACCCACCATTAGATAGAGCATAAAAAGACGATTCTAAAACACTAATTAGTGTTGAGTTTCGGTTTGATTAACATGAAGATATCTAACCAGGGGAAACCAAAATAACCGTTTTTCAACAACTAATTTTAAGTAATCAAGGCATGTTGGAATTTTTTTCTGCTAGATAAGTTGGTTGCAATAGTGAATTCTATCTATGTTCAAATTTTCAGACTTACATCTGGTATGCTGACGAAATGTCCTTAAAAACAATTTTGTTGGGGAGGGCCTTAGGGGCCTTGATCGGGGGATCCCGCCAAGCGATTTAAAAATTTTTGAAGGTGATTCTCATCGATAACTCCATGAGATCTACTAGTTCTGAAAGTTTTATCTGATTCTGTGATGCTCGCCGTAACGGTGGTACGCATCCAAAAGAATCACCCCTAAGACTTGTATGAAGACTCTGAATTGAAGAGACTTGACGTTATGACTGTCATTAAGACTTGTGGAGTGGCGGGCTCGAGGACCACGCTAAATATATCTATATAACTAATAAATATTATTAATTGAATTGTGTTTGACAAATAATCATTTTGGAAGGATTAACATAGAGTTTATACTCTTATCGCAGAAAAATAAGCTTTAATTTCAATATTTGAGTGAATATATGAGAACCATTTTTAAAATGTGTAGTGGAATCTTTTTGTGATAAAGTATATGCGCAATCAGTGATGATTAGAGCATACAGATCGAGAAAAAACCAGACATGCACAAAAAAGAGTTCTTTTGAGAAAGAGAATTTATCAATGTTCAAAGACAAAGTTCAAAGAAACAACTACATCCAAATCCAACAACTACCCGATCGGTTGAACCCTCACGGATTTCTGGAAAAGGTCAAAAAAAGAGCGATACCCTCAACCCTTACTCTTTCGTATTCGCCAATAGAAAAGGACTCAGTTTTTAAAAGTTTTCTCGAAGACTTTTAAGTTGAAATCTGCCTTTTGAACTGAACTCCGACTTTCAGGTCTCAAGATCCACCTATGTCCATAAGAAAGCTAAATGTTGGGGCTCAGCCTAAAAAGTTTCATCCAATGAAGTACAGGTCGATGCTTCGTGATAAGTGTCTTTTTTTTCAAGCTGTTTGTTCCAGGATTTCGCAGGCTTTATAGAGCGGGGAAAACTGAACGTTGTCAGAAAGCGTCGACATATACTTCATTCAATGTTGTTTTTTGCACTGATTTCCAATAAGCAATGCTATTCTAGACATAAGTGAGTTTTGAGGTCAGCAAACTGGATTTTGAATTAAAAATCAAGTATTCCACCTTAAAAATCTTCTAAAAAATATAATGATTATTAATAATTATTAATTTTCGACGGTGAGTATATTGAAAATATATATGGAAATGAGTAATGGTGTCAAGAGATGTAACTGGAGAAATTGTTGCGTATCTGCTGGAATTGACACGTAACATGTTAAACGGTTCCATAATACGTCCAGTTATCAAAGAGAAATGGTTCTATGATCTGTTAGTTTATTCTCTCAATGATGATAATATACTAAAATGATCGAAATTTAAACCATTAATCAATTTGATTATGAAAGCAAATAAAGTATCGACAGAAAAAAGTTGGCTAAATTACATTGTTCATTTTGGTAAAGTTATGCAATCTACGTATAATGAGAAAGATCCCCCGTTACGATTATTCTACCATCGGTACCGTTCAGTGGATGTATCCGAATTCTGCTGTGCAATTTTCGTTTTGGTCACCCTCTTTGTATAATATTAATTACGTGAACAAACCAAATTTGTATTGTCTTGAACGTCTTCTAAATTCTATTACTCTCAATCGAAGTATTCAGGCTCTCGAACAGTTGCTTAATAACGATAAAATAGCAGTTATCAGCAGGTATCAAAAAGTTTTGAGTTTTTGTTTCTCCAAATAATTAGGCATTCTTTTTAATTAGTATGTTTAAAAAAATCTAGTTAATTAGAATAGTTTATATTCTACTTCTTCTTATTCAAGTTTTATTTTTCAACGAAATGGCAGCAGCCGTAGCTTTATTAAAACAGGAATATCAATTAAACTTTCGACGAAACGGGAACTAACCATATTGCTCCGTCCTTCCATTTATGATCGTATTTCTTTATTTAAACACTACTATGAACAAAAGAAAACCCGTATTTCTTGGAGAGGCCTTTGCTATAAAAGATGTTTTGGTTTCTTTGTAATGAGAGAGTGCAGTGTTAAATACACTGACAGCTGTCATTGCTAACGTAAGCGTAGTGAACGTAAGCGTAGTGAATTTTTCATTTTTCGCATTTTACGCATAAAGATTATCGCCAAATTTATTCAACCTCAGTGTCGGTCTGAAACATTCGAAGATTCTTTTTCACAGCGAATCGAAGGAATATGAATTCGACTTGATAAAAACATGATAAAAAAATTATTATAAACTTTTGTTTGTACCAGTAAAAAAAAGAAAAGAAGAACGTTAAGTCAGTTTCCATGTTTTTTTTTATCCAGTATAAATAATATAATTGCACGTTTGAAAAGGACTGATTAGTTGAAATTGTTGTCCCAATCCAACTGAGCTCATTTCTCCGATAATGTCATGGATATGACTGCCAGCCATATCAATTGAAATGCTCGTCTTGTCTATAGCGATTGTGTGTACGTGACGTCCACGGTCATGTATACCTCCTCCACTGACTGTACCGCGACCTCCACCATCCTGGGGAGCTGAATCACCCGTCTGACCACCATGATTGTGTCCGGGATCCCGATAGGTGTGCGAATGTGCACCATTTGCAGAAATCGCCAACGTCCCTTTATCATGTTTATGAGCAGGCAATTCGGCAACTGACAGCTGGTGCATTGCTTTTCCACCTGCCTGCCCTAAGTGAGTTGCCTCATTGACACGAATTTTTAATTCATCAACGCCCATTGGAAATCTACCACGAAAATCGGGCAGATTGAATTTCGTCGAACCGTCGCCGGCGCCATAGGTTGTCCCAATAACCGAAAATAGTCTCTGATATTCAATGCGAGATAGCGAAGTTCCATCGCATAACAACCACAATTTTGGTATCGATGTAACATTGCCTGTATACAGTTTTATTTCGCCGGTAAATGTCATTGTTCGAGAATTCAACGAAACAACTGGAAGTTTTATTGCATTCACAGTTCGAATAATTGCACCATTGGCTTTGTCGGCAATCAATTGTTTTGCAATAATTGCCGTTTGCAAATGATCAGTTAGGTCAGTCATTTTGTAAACACTAAATGATTTTGGAATGAATTTTTCGCCTGACCATTGAATATCGATTTGTTCTTGGGATATTATGTGTTGAATTTCGGTGGCAGAAAATATCGACTGTGTCGTTGTTGAAAGCTGATTTCCAGATGAACTTGACGTTGAACCAGATCCACCAAGCGTAACACCAAAAATATTCAAACCTGCACTTCCACTAATTCCTGACGATTGTACATACTGTTTATCATAATCGAAATAATTGTCTGAATAATTGTGTCGTTTTGTTTCGGTTTCATTGTAAATGAACATTTTATTTATTTCATTTGTCAAACGATCTGGATTTAAATCCATTGATGACCAAACTTGATCATAAAATTTTATATCCAATTTAATTTCATCCGCATAGGCCATGCCTAAACAAATTTATATTATAATGACAACCATTATAAGTAGCAGACGATTGCATTCCTATTCTGGAAGGTAGATTGCGCTAGGCAAAGTAATCGCACATGTTGTTTACAGCGGTGCAGAGACGTGGATTATAATATGGACGTCGAAACTGAGATGAACCTTCTAGATTTGGAAGTAAACGCATTGACAGTCCTGTACATCCCTCTCATTCTTCACGCTCACCTTAGCCATGTGCAGATAGAACGAGAGCTATAAGCAACTCGCGAAGAACTTTCAAAATAAGGGAAAAATCTAATAATTCTAAACCGAACAGTTAACTTTTTTGTTACCCTGTTGCAAAAGCGAGATGAATTGATCTTCTAATCCAGCTGTTAGTGACGAAAGATTCGTATTCAGATTTTCCATGTAAATCATTTTCTTCACATTTGCCACATATTTGCTGACAAATGACGAACCCTGATTTCGATGCTAGATAATCCATAAAGAACGGCCGCTAAAAACATAATTTTTGCCTCCCACACTGTACACACCAAGGTACTTGGGCCAACATAATAATCACCGGATGGGCAACACGAGCTGTACACGGAACAGGACCTGTTCTGTGCTGCACAGCACACTGCCCGGCAGGAATGTTTTTTCTAGTAGTAGCTCCTAATCTGGTTGTTAGAAATTCATACCATCCTTAACCCCTTTTATGTTTACAAATTGTTCAATTGCACATAACATGCACCGAGTTGTTGTTTGTTTAATAAACAGAGTTGAGATTAAAATGTTTTCCAGATGGGGCACAGATCAGTTAGAATAGAAAACCTCAACCTCTTAACAGACAACTATTTACCGAAAACTTATTACAAATTATGATAGGCTAAGCTTGCGACACTCTGCCAACGAGACGAGTGAAGCTACTGTAGTCTTCACTGGAAAATTTGAAAACTTGAAATCTGTCCTGAAATTAAGAGTTTAGCTCTGCCTTGTTCAACCCCTCATCTGTCCACGTTCGACCTCTCTCTTTTTGGTGTGAACATTCTTTATGTCTGATTTGTGAACGTACTCAGCATTTTTGTTTCCTCCGTCAGCTATTGTTTTGCTTATAACACTTTTCAGTTGATCGCTGTTAATTGAAACGAAATTTGTAGAAACTTGTTTGAAACCGGCAAAATAGGATGCTATTTCGATTTCATAATCACTATCAATAATTTTTTGGACAATTTCCTTTGCCGTTTCTTCTGTTGAACATTTAAATCGAAAGGTGATTGATAATTTATTTGGATTTTTATCTGTATGAGGATGGACGCCTTCAACCGGTGAATTACTTCCTTTAACAATGTATGACATTAGAGAATCGATCATCAATGGGGCAACCGTCCAAAACTTTGAATATTGTGAAACGGACAGATCATATTTTTCGATAATTGCTTTTCGAGCTATTTCTTCTACTTCGTCATTTCCTAGCATCAATGTCACACGAACTTCACTTTTGAAAGCAGTCACCCAATCTTCACTTTCTGGTAACATTATTGGAACAAAATAGAAAATCCATTTTTGTGGTGAATTCAAATTTTCATTTTCATTTGACAGTGCACTATAAACATAAACTTGATTTCCTTCAAATTTAAATATTGTCAATATCTGGGTGTTCACAATTGCCGTTCCTAAACTTGGGCTGTCACTGCGCGATGATGCTTGAATGGTACTTTTCGACAAGTCATTAGCTTCAAATTCAAAATCCTGTTCAAAACCATTTTTATTTGTTTGCTTTATTGTCAAATTTAGTGGGTAAAAGAGGTGACTACAACTAATAGCAGAAATTAGCCAAAGTTTTGCGACGATGATATATGATAAATGCTGTGACATTTTCTGATGTTGGTAAAGAAAGAAATGGACTGCATGTTCTGTTGTATTTATTTAAAAAGCGAAAGAAAGTTCAGTCTACGCAAGATTGTCAAATATTGAAATTAAAAAATATTTAATCTATTTAGCCAGCTAAATATATCTATATAACTAATAAATATTATTAATTGAATTGTGTTTGACAAATAATCATTTTGGAAGGATTAACATAGAGTTTATACTCTTATCGCAGAAAAATAAGCTTTAATTTCAATATTTGAGTGAATATATGAGAACCATTTTTAAAATGTGTAGTGGAATCTTTTTGTGATAAAGTATATGCGCAATCAGTGATGATTAGAGCATACAGATCGAGAAAAAACCAGACATGCACAAAAAAGAGTTCTTTTGAGAAAGAGAATTTATCAATGTTCAAAGACAAAGTTCAAAGAAACAACTACATTAACGCATTCAATGTATCATATTCATTCTACGTCAGCTTTTTATATTTATTAAGAGAAGGTTCGTTAGAACACCGACCAATCCTATAATGTCTGATCACTAAATGAGAGAAATTATTTATTCAAAACGCTAGGGATTTCGAGCACTTCTCTGTAGGTCCATTGAATCTTCGGAAAATAAATTCCAACTTTGATTATCAGACATTGTAACCCATAATGAGAAAAGCTCATTTATTGTTTCCACTTACGATGTTTAAAATGATAATTACATTATTAGTGTGGATATAGTACGACTTACAAAAGATATTTCAACACGAAATAAACATCCAACAATCCGAAAACAAGAGTATTGAGATATTGAAATATTTGTATTAGCTAATGACGATAGTCTAGGGAACAGCTATTATCCGGTGATTACATTTGATGATGAATATTATCGTCACAATTACTTCAATGCACAACTTGATTCGTTTGAATATGTCGAGTATACTTTGGAGGAAGACAAACAGCAAAACGAGTTGAAAAAGGAGAAGAAGCTATGGGATGAAAAACTAGTTCAATTAAAAGTTCTATAAAATAGTTTTCTACCAGATCCGAATATGTCGGATGGTGAACAGTTACATAGTGGATCTTTGGACACCCGAATTCCAGGGATGCACCCCAGAAAGGTCTATCGGCAGAAACGGATATCAGATTCGTGATCAGCATCAAAAATTACCCACAATCGTGTATGTTTTAAGGAAAAAGCGATTGGACACTTGGGGTTTTTCCCTCGTCAGTCGTGTGAATTTGCATAGAACCGTTTAAAGGCATGCGGCGAGGAACCTGTGAGTAAATTTTCAATGGAGAACAAAAGTTTAGAACACATTTGCTATGAAGTTTCTGTTAAAATGGGAGATTAAAGAGCTTTTCAAGTAATTTTTACACGCAAGTCTTTCTGTTCATACAACAATACATTGATCAAGACCAGCTGAGCGAAGAGGAAGAGGATCGATCAATTCAACTGATATTTTGGTTTCATCACTTTAAGACAGGAAGGCTTTCGTCTCATCATTTCAATGTCGGAGACGCTATGACGTTGATTGATCAAAATCAATTAGATACGTTTAACCAACAATCTGAGTATAATGAGCAAGTTCCCCCGTTACGATTATTCTACTACGCAATTGGTACCGTTCAGTGGATGTACCGAATTTTGCTGTGCAATTTTCGTTTTGGCCACCCTCTTTGTACAATATTAATTACCGCCATTTTCGTTCCGTTTCTGTAATAGTATAAAAATGAAAACTGTGCATTTCACCTAGACAAAAAGCATAATCTTATAATTATCGCCATTTACCCCTGTATTACTGCCAGGCGGCGTTGGAACGCCCGCCGGATTGCTTAAAACAAAATAAACACAAATACTATCTAGAAGACAATTCTCAAGTAGAGCAAATCGTTGACACTCCATCAATCAATACAAAACATCTCATTTCTATCGCAGACATTAAAGATGCGATGCCAGACACTGTACATCTGTGGTAAGATACCTGAAATGCCCATTTTTTTTTTATTTAATAAACTTTTTATCAGATATACCATAACATCGGACAAAAATGTACAAGTGTACTCATAAACCCAGAAACACACAAACATATATTTGCTAGAATCTAATTTATAATAGATCTTAAAAATTTATGTTTCCTGGGTGAAAAAGTATCAGGACATCAAAATATATTCGTAGACCTATATTTTAGAGATAATTCGAGACGAAAGTTTTTTTTGTTATTTAAAAACATATTCAAAAGAATCTAAAACAGAGGATAAATGATATAAACTACACTAGTCCTGTGGCATGGCTAAAACTCTGAATGATCGGCGTCTATTTTGACCAAACGATATAAATGAGGTTTTAAAAGCGAACACATTTTAGGAGATAAAACGGCATCACCTAAATCCAAGGGGGAAATAGCGGACTCCTGGACTCCTATGGACTCCTAGGACTCCTTTGGACTCCTATGGACTCCTGGACTCCGATGGGCTCCTGAAGTCCAGGAGTCCATAGGAGTCCAGGAGTCCGCTATTTCCCCCTTGCCTAAATCACATATGCTCTTCGATATGCTGTCAAAAAGAAACAATCAGAATCTTGCTTTTGAATAATTTTCCAGATTGGTTTTCTTTTGAAAACCTCTAAAAATTCACCGGAGAACCATTCATATATTTTATAAATATCACCATTGGACTTTTTCTGGGTGAAAAGCTACATCATAAGTGGTTTTTATATATTTTTGGTATCTCAAATCTCTCAAAAAATGTTAGCTCAAAACTTAAATAAAAACCTTGGAAATTGATCCGAAAACTTTTTTTACTCTTAACACTTGAATAAATAACTCAGTTGACTTTATTTAATTTGACATTTAGTAACACCCTTATAATATCCTATTCTTTCGTTTCCCATTTCAAAATTATACGTATTATAGCGCTTATTACAAAAGAATAAGGAATTTCAGTATTATACCGAAAATCTCGTTAATTTTAATATTAGTCACGATATCGAACTGCACGGATAACCATGATCATTATTAGCTACAATAGTATCATTGGAACACAGCTGTAATAACTTTTTTTTCTACTACACACTATTCGATTAAAATTACCGTATCCCTGCCCCATCTCTATTATTTTCAACGTCCCATATTTGAGAAAATTTCTCTAACCAGCAACACTTTGCTATTTTCAACTAGGCTCTAGACATTATGATTAACCGCGCTTTGAGCTCATGAGGCCCTACTGTTTTGTTATGAGTCCCACTTGTAAAAAAAAATAGAAGACTGAATGCACAATGGAAATAGTTAAAGATTGCAGAAAGAGAGTGAGAGAGTAGTTCAGTTATTATATCTGACAAGGTTACTGCACAGAAAAATATAATGCGAGAATTTTTAGTACAGGAATCGCCAAATATCGTATATATAGAGGTGTTAGCCGATCAATTTTACGGCGATGGCGGCGAATGAGTCACACCGAAAGCAGAAAATTCGGCGGAGGCGGAAAATGTTTTGGATTACATGGAATACATGGGCCAACCTTCGAATATTGTACTGTGAAGCAAAAAAATATCTAGATATGGTCGGCGGCGGCGGATAAGTTTCCGCCGACGTTTTATTTTCAGCGGTGGCGAATCAAAATTTCTCGGCGGTGGTGGCGAAAAATCGGCGGCTAACATCTCTACGTATATATTTAGGTCATAGTGGTAGGGCCGATGGTACTTATATTATATTTCAGAATCGTACTGCAAAAACAGTTAAATCTTGGAGCAAAAAATGAGAATATACTCAAATCAGATAATAGAAATAAAATAAAATGATTATTTTTCATTTTCTCTTTCTCTACCTTTCTCTCTCTATCTCATTCTCTTTTATTCATGGTAATTAGAACAAGAATTGACTGATTTTCAAGATATTTCTAAGTCTAGAAGCGTCATACGATCCGTTTTTAGAGTTCATATCTCTGACCTGAATCGATGTTTTGGATCAAACTAGCCATGCATTAAAACAGTGTACGTAGATTATGTCCTTCTTTGCTAAAAATGTCTAGGTCACCTGGTGAATGAGAACAACTGTAGTAATAATTGTTATCGTTCTTATAATATTGGTTTCGCCGTTGTGCATACCGTTGATAATGATTATTTGAGTAATTCTGATTATATCTATTATAATAATAAGGTGTTGCATAATAATCTGAATTATTTTTATAATAACTATCATCTGAATATGATGGACGATTATTTCGGTTATAATTCTTAAATGAAGTGTTATTATTCGAATTTTTATTATTGATATTCGTCGTTGTATTTGTTCGTCGTCGTTGTTGTTGTTGATTAGAAGAATTATTATTATTATTTGTTGTTGTAATAGCAGGGTTTGTATTTACCATTGTCGTAGGGTTAATAGATGCAGAATTGTTTGTAGAATCATTAATAAATGTAACTTTTTTATTTTTATTTTTATTATTATTTTTCCTCTTATTTTTATTATTATTATCAAACAAAGGAGATTTTTGTTGTTGATGTTGTGGAGATTTAGATCGAGTACGAATAGAAGTAGAACCTGATTGTTGATCATTGAAAAGATTAATCGTGGGAAATATATTATCATTTCTGAATCCAAAATTATTATTTGTCGTTTTTGTTGATGGTTTAATTGTATGATGAATTAATTTGCACCACGATTTTTTAATGAATGTTTTCAATTGTTAATCTACCCCTGATTCTATCTCTAAACGTTTATTCGAAGAAATTAAGTGTCTTACCGATTCTATTTTACCATTAATTTCGATTAAATTATTTTCCATATATTCTGTTGTTTTATTCATTAAATTACGACGTGAATCATTTAATAGTTCATTCCATTCCTTTATAAAATCGTTATCATCGTTTCCGATTGTAGGTTGTGGCATAGATGATAGTGCAGAAGGATAAGAATTACGTTCTTTATGTAAATTTAGTATGGCCAGATGATTTTCGTATTGTTTTCTTCTATGTAATTCAGTTTTAAATATAGTTTCTGGAGAAATATCATTTCTAATTGTATTATTTGTAAATATTATCTTTGATGTACCAGATAATTGTGTTTGTTGACATGAAGTTACATATTTGGATTTTGTTTTATCAATATCTATTGTTGACATTTCAATTTAGTCCAATTCTAATTTTAAAGAAGTATATTTAAATTTTAAATGTAGTTTTTCAAATTGGTTTATTTGTGATGGATCGATCGGGTCAGTATTTGTTGAAGAAGAAGAAAATGTTTTGATTGTATCAGTATTTGTTGATATTAAAGTAGAAGGTCCATGTCGTTGTGATAATATTCGATTACTAGTAGAATTTAGGTGAATGGTAGCAGATGGTCGAGATGGAGATGAACGGCGAATAGTATAGGGAATATCTCCGTACTAGAGATGTGCAATCCGACCCGTACCCGACCCGACCCGACCCGAAGGCTGGGTACGGGTACGAAAGCGTCGGGTATGGGTTGGGTACGGGTTAGATTTTTTTAGACTAAACCCGAGGAAATCTAATGTTATTAGTTCACTTTAGTCTCGAAGTTATAAATTAAATAAGAAAATATATAACAAACTGACATATTCATTTTTCTGTGAGGTGCATATGATGAAATAAATGAATATATTAAAACAAAATTCATTTATCCAAAAGGTGGAAATATTTTAACGTGGTGGAAAG